TGGTCAACGGGCAAAAAGCAAGCACTTAAGGTCTTCAGCTCCAATCTTTTGTTCATTTCTTATTGCTGGAATTTCATATTCATTTCTTCTTGTTGGATGACTAAACTGTAAATAAAAAAAATAATTAAGATTTATCTTTAGTGATCAACTGCAGTATTCTTCCAATGATTTACAACATGAGTAGATGAGTATCAACGTATTGATAAGAATGGCTGGCACGTGGATCTGGGATACAAATATAATGTTACTTCTTAGGTAAGTCTACAAGAGAACTCTGGTGGTCAAATAGTAAGGTGTCACTGTCAACACTAAGTGGTTCAAATCTACCAGATGCTCTGAGGGTAAAAGATAAAAACAACTCTTTCCATCCTATTTACAGCTTCTGAAAAGCCCCCTGCAGGGTCAGTTTCCAACTCTAGTTAATTCTGACTTGCTAGTACCCAACAAGGTGCTTACAACAGCTTTATTCAACAATTTGGAAACTGGCCTTTTAATTGTTTGCATCAATAAAAGGAGGTGAGCATGATTTATGAATGCTACGTTTCAGAGTCAGGAAGTCATATAGTGTAGTGTCATTTACCCGGATGATGGTAGAGATGGTAAGCCGGCATTTACTCAGCCCCGCCCTGCTCAGCCTCGGGAGCGGACGAATTCTCAGCTGGTGGATCGGCTGCTTTTGTCTCTTTGCCATCTTGTGGTTTAGGGTTTTCTGGGCGTCTGCGTCGGTAATTGAAGTTGCGACGGTACCGACGTTGAGGTGGCTGCTGACCTTGGGTCTCATCTTGATTTTCCTTATCTTCTTCATTGCCATCCTCTCTAGGCTGTCTTTGGCGAGGAGGGCCCCTGGAACCAACATTATACAAAATTCAATGATGAAAGATTTCTTTCAGCCAATCTTCCAGAATTACTCAAACTGAATGCTGACTAGAGTTTACATCTCACTAGTTTTTTGAGTCTTTAAATGGTAGAGGAGAATGTTGCTCTTCCTCCCATGGAGCCAGAGGCACAGCCTTACGACTCTCTAGTTAACATATGGTTCACTCAACAAAACTACCATATCTTGTCAAAAGGAAACAAGAGCAAACTTGGCCTCCACATCTGAGAAACTTA